TTTACTTTAATTCACAAATATCTTGTGGGTCTAGGGAAGACTCTTAAAGGAAAGGAACTGGAATTTATTATATAAAAAACAGTGAGGACATAGATAAATGAAACATGTGTAAGTGCATGATTGAATGCCTGGTTTTATTTGTGTCCATAATTCTAAGCAGTAAGGCTATACTTTCAGGGATCATTTCTGTAGTATGCTACTAGAGGAATTTCTCTGATTGTGTAGAGTACAAGCAGTGCCATCATCACCTGCTGTTTATATCCCCTTGTATCCTTTTTATGCATAAATATCTAAATCTCTGAACTGTAACTGGAGTGAAGCTTAAAGCAAATCATCTTCCTTCTTCACGATCCCTGGTCATGTGTGAGGTGTTTCCACTTACTCCCACCATGAGGGGTTTTCCTCCAAGTCTCTGGGAAGGCCAATGGCTACCTGCAGTGCGGCTCAGCTCAGACGATCACAGTGCTGTGCTCCTGAGCCTGGCATCTCAAGGAGCCCGAAGGCTGAAGCAAAATAAATGCCAACTCTGGAAAACAAAATGAGACAGCCTAAATCCTCTCGGACAGTTAACATTTGCAAAAATGATGTCAGTAAATTATTAAACAAACATTATTTTTATGACCTTCAGAAATTATATATGAAAGGAAAAGGCAGGGTTGCTTTTGATTTATCCTAGACCATATCTCTTGAATAAGACTTAAAACAATCCTTTGAATAAATAAAATTGCAGGTGTGAACTACAGACAGGAAAGACACAAGACAGTACTTTACAGTACCATATAAGATAACTTTGCAAGGTTTGTAAGCATATGCACCATTTTATAAGGAAATGTGGTATAGCTGTAAATCCCAAAGACCTGTAAATGTAATGCTATTTATTTTATATATTCCCCAGTCTGCTATGCTTATTTTGAAGTTGTCAACACCGACAGAAATAAATACTCTGCACTTATATTCTTATTAATAATGCTGAAAACTAGAGTATATATAATATCAAAACTCAGCATAGAGTATATGGAGCATTTAAAAAATCTTGATCTATTATACTAGTTTCCAGTTTGTATTTTGTTGAAGCACACTTTCTTTTCTGCTTATTTTAACACTGATATTTCACTATAATTTTTACAACAAATGAATGCAAAATTAATAAATATATCTGATCTAGCTATATAAGTTGGTAACTGAATGAAGGAAAGAACTCAAAAGTCTGCATGCTGAATTTCATGTTGCTGTATGTATTAGGTCCAACCATAGAAAGATTATTTTCCAAACATCAGGCCAACAACCAATCCAGTCCTGCAGAGTGATAAAGAGTGGCGTGTCAGGGTGTTAGAAAGAGGAGGAGCCGAAAGTAGTAAACAGCCAGCCTGCCACTCCTTTAGATGGCATTCTTTATAAACTGTGAACTTTTTCTGGGCTAAATAAATTCTTGAAACTTATTAATAACTTGCACATTTGGCATTTTACAGCCTAAGGATCTCTGCTTGCTTCTGCTTCCAGTTACTATGACCCCCTACTCGCCAAACACACATGCATAGGTTTTTTCAGTGTTGAAAGGAAAATAGAGAAACCTAACTTTCCTCCACAAATTGATGCCCTCCTCTCTCAGGTAGTGGACCATTCTGGATTTTTGCCATGTAGACATCTTTACCTGGTTTTGATCTCTCCACAATCTTTCCATTCCTGAGCTCCACGTTTATTTGAGATATCACCTAACAACCTCAGATCCTGTGGCTAAAAATCCCCATTCATACTTTGATCATGAAGAAGGAAGATAAGATCCTGAAGGAAAAGTTCAGCCACCGGGAAGTTTGTTCCTTCTAAAAAAGAGAGAAAAGGGAAAGTTAGAAATTTCATAGCCTTAAAATGAGATTATAATGGAAAGCAAAATGTAGGAGCATCTTCCAAGTCCTCTCCCCAAACCTCCAAGGCAATGTCCATAATTCTAAGCAGTAAAGCTATACTTTCAGGGATCATTTCTGTAGTATGTTACTAGAGTCCTCTCCCCAAACCTCCAAGGCAACAGTGTCACACATTTAAAAAGTATGGGTGCATTCTGAATAGCTTCAAATAAATCACTGTCATTTTCTGTGTCATTGACTGGTTCTATGGAAGAATTTATGCATAAAGTAAAAATGTTCCCTGAGCCTGTGAGAGATAATGAGCAATTAGGAATGTCTGAAAGTCTATTCTTTAGCTCATAGTTTATCTTCAGCACAAAAGCTATTACTTAAGGGGATATAAATTAGTTAGACACAAAGTGTAACAAATATATTTGAGGCAGGCGTACTCGTCACACTTAATAAGATTAGAAAAGGATATCCTTTCTCTGAGCTTTTATGCTGGAAAACAGAATTAAATCAACGTTTCTCTTAAACACGTCAAACAGATTAGGAATCCGAGAACATATTTCCTTTGTCACAAATGAGTCACTCATAAAGTTATAGCATGTTCTTAGCCTGCACCATTAGTGAAACTGCTTTTAAAACGCTCCTGTTGTCAAAGGTGTAAAGAATTTGCTAGCTCATAGGCTCAGTCATACCCTGGAAGAGGAAGAAATTAATCCGGGGAAGAGTAGAAGGTGGGATGAGCCAGAGAGCTAGGTAAGGTCCGGAACACTCAGGTTTCAACTCCAACTCTGAGACATAGCCCTTATTTTAGAACAAATAGACTACTCTTTTGATCTTCATTTTTGAAGTATGACAGAAGGAAGAAGGAAGTGGTCCAAGGGAGGGAAGAAGGGCGTGCTCAGCTCCTAAAAGTATTACTCTAAACTGTGTTTTTTAAACTGACACATGTTAAGTAAAAGACAGCTGAAAACTGTCTTCTATGTCATTGACTTTCTAACTAGAAAACAAGTCAGAAAGAATTGGGCTACTTTTGTCAGGGATTGGAAGGCAAAACACAGGGGCTGCCCTTTGAAGAGGCAGGCAGACACCAGTATGTACAATAAGGCAAATATAGCTGAGGGAAGAGAAAAGTAAGGAGATACAAGTTGATACCAACAGTCAGGAAATAGGAGCTGGGCAGGATAGAGCAAAAGAAGCAGGCCTGGGCAAGCAGGTAAGATAGAGATACAAACCCTCTGTGTTAGGAAGCCTTTGATATCTAAATTGGACCTTTTACAAATCCTGGAGTGTTTGTTTTCCCTGAGGGAGGGATTGAAAGAAAGCTAATTTGGTTGTAATTGCTAGGTATTGAGAGCCATTTAATGCACTTCGACAAATCTGGCTTACTCAGTTCTGCTTTGCTTTTGAGGAAACTGAGGTTGGGGAATGCTAGCAAATTTCCCAAGGTTCAAGGCAATTGAAGGGGCTGGGTGTCCACCCTGAAAGGGTCTTGCATTTAGGCTGGAAGCACTGTCTCCCTCTGGTCACAAAGCCTTTCAGCTCTTAGTTTGAAAACCAAAATTTCCCACTGCCTTCCAAATGCAAGCTCTGTCCTTAGCCAGGCTGGAAGTATAGTAAGTACTGCTGAGTAGTGAGCTAGGTCAGAAGTAAAAAAGCTAATAAGACATAGGGCCTGGCCTTGGGAGGTGAGACACACTCTGTATGGGAGAAGGTGTGCACAGCCAGATTAAGCCTGGGATTTGGAGGCAAATTTCTTGGAGAGTAAAACACATATACTAAAGATTACGGTAGCCAGGGAGGACGGCAGGTACTGAGGCATCTGACTGGGAACTAGGATTTATGAATGGGCAGAGGCCTACCTAGCAGATGTATTGGACAGAATACTCATTAATGAAGCATTTTACTAAGTATTTATTGAACATCCACAGAACTCAAGGTTTTGCCCTATCTGTGAACAAAATAAACAAAGATTCCTGCCTTAGTAAACTCACTCTATACTGGACAGAGGAAACTAGAAAGTATTTCATACACTAGAAAACAAGTCAGGAACATAATTTCAAGAGCAGATGACAGTGGGAAAGTTGAAAACGTCAGAGTCTGAGGCAACTCACTCTGCCTGAACTTTTAGCCTATGGCGTCTTAAATTTCGTCTTAAAAGGAACAAATTTGGTCTCAAAACCTGGAGTGGCACTGAATCATTAAAGCATACAGTTTGGAAGAGTGAGACAGTAAGAAATTTACTCTTGGAATTTACTAAGAAATTTACAGAGGACAATTTACTAATTACTACTTACTAAACTTACTAAACTTACTAATTACTACTTACTAAACTTACTAAACTTACTAAGAAATTTACAGAGGATATGCTATCATGTTACAAATACACCCTCCTATATTTAATATCTGACTATTCCTATGTGGTAGCCTGTATGAGATTTCTAAAACTTGTGGGTCTAGTTTACCATGCAGACCATAGTCCATGTGAATTATGTGCCTGCAGATAAGTCAGGCACATCACCCATGGCCATATTTAGAAACCTTAAATTTTATTCTACTAGATGTAATGTTTGATGTTCACTTGGTAGTTGTGTTAACCAAACTGCATGACACTAAAATCATTCTCTGAAATGACTTTGCAAATGATTAAATTAAATTAACTTATATGCTCAAAAGGTAGATAGCTAAGGATATAGAACAAATTGAGAAAAGGCTTACATCTACCTGATTCTCCATCTGTTTTCAGAAAGGAAAAGACCACAACTTTCAATCCAACCTTCATGACTCATAAAAACAGATTTAAAATAATACCTAGAGAATTTTGAAAGGGACAGAAAGGCCGACTAGCTGTGTAACGCTAGTGCCAGTCTTCTTTCTGGATGCCAGGTGGCTGAAGGTGACTTTGGAGCTCACTACATCTCTACCACATTGTCATACCCATAATATGAAGAATGTGAGCTATTTAGGATAAAAACAAATGTTCTTTGTGTGCCTCATCCTCTCTCAGAATACAAAATTTGACTTGAAGCTTTGTACTAATTCTGACTCAGTCCATGGAAACTTTACAGGTTTCATCAACCCACACCTACTTTTATTTGAGCAAGGGAAAATAATATTTAGTTCTTTCCTCCAACAAACAAGTCTCAACAAAGCCAAAGCTGGTTTAGTCATTTTCTCAGCCATTCTTTTGCAAGATTTTGTTTATGACAATGAACTTGAGTCAATGTTTTTTCTAAAGATAGACACTAAGATACATATAATAGTGCAATTATGAAAACACAGAACTCAGTAAACAAATTAACATGTTTCTGTTGTTGACATGAAATATATTTAAGTAATAAAAAGCTAACTAATAGTAGAGATGTGTTTTTGTAAAGCACACATAGATTTTATTTCAAAAACTGGAATAATTTACATAGAAACTTAGTCAAATTTCCACAAACAGATATTTTTTATTTTTTAAAATTTTATTCCTCAAAATCTAAAACTAGAAATTCCATTCAACCTAGATATTCCACTTCTAGGCATCTTCCCAGAAGAGTTAAAGACATCGTATTACAGTGGTGCATGTGTACTAATGTTTATATCAGCACAATTCATAATAGCTAAATCTTGGAACCAGACTATATATGTCCATTGACAGATGAATGTATATAAAATAAGTTTTATTTATACAAAATGGAGTACAATCCTATCACAAAGAAGGATAAATATAGGTCATTTGTAGGAAAATGGATGGAACTTGATACCATACTGTTAAGTGAAATATATCAGACACACAAGATTAAGTATTGCATGCTTTCTCTTACATGGGAAATGCAAAATATTTTAGATGATTTAATTAATGAAGTTGTTTATGTGTTAAAATTTTCTTATTCTTAAATAATAAATTTTCATTGAATAATGAAAATGACAGAATAATCATATATGCAAAATTTACCTACATTTTCTTTTATCAATATTTAGAACTCATTATCTTAAGGAGCACTTTCACATTCAGCATACATTTTCAGTGTAACTACTGTAAAGAAAACTGGTACACTATTTTATTTAACCTAAAAATATTTTGGGATGAGTCAGTTAAAAGATACAATAGAACTGAGATCTCAATAGTTATCATCAGAGAGAAAAGAGAAGGTGTACTCAGGTACAATGGGCCAGTCAAAGTAACCTAGCTTTAAGACTAGTCCCATAGATACAGTTAGTGTTGGAGAATAGTATATAAATTAGAGGTGCCATTGAAAGAAACAGTTAATGTATAACTGTTTGATCAATCTTACATGCCTATATCTAGTTATCTGGGTTACTACTTTGAAGATAACAGTATGTAATATAAAACCATTGTTAACTTCCTATCACTTTGTTTTCAAATTCTGTATCATTTTTATTGTTTTTATGTTGTCTTGTTTATGCCTCTGTTTTTGTTATTTTGTTTTTGTATTTCCTCTTTAAAATTAAGAAAAGAATATATACATATATATACACACACAAGGAGAGCTAAGTGTATTGCTGATGTCTATTGGTTTATTGAAAGGAATAGTTAATGCTTAAATTTTTTTTCTTTTGACCAATTTTGCATGCTTATATCTGGTAATCGGAACAACTAATTTGAAGACAACAATATGCAATATAACAACCATTTCTGAATCCTTACCATCTTGTTTAATGAAGCTGTGTATCATTTCTAATGTTTTTTATTACTTATTATTGTCTTTAATTGTTTGATCAATCTTGCATTCTTACATCGAGTAATCTGAGCAGCTTTGTTGAAGACAACAATATGAAATATAACAACCATTGTTAATTCCTGTCATCTTGCTTTGAAATCCTGTATTGTTTTCATTGTTTTTGCTTTGTTTTGGTTTTGTCTCCTTTGTTGTTGCTGTTTTTTGTCTTTAAAATAAAAATAAATAAATTAGAATTGCCTATGACAGCAGGATTTGCTGGTCAGTAGAGATACCCTCAATGGGGTG